TCGAGAGATGATATCGGCACTGGTGCCTCGCCATACTTTAAGAGCAAACATGCTCGCAGCCCTCCTCCGCCTTTCCCGTACACCCTCCAGCCACCATGTCTGTCGAAGTCGCGTCACCTAACAAGCTGCCTAGCGACTTCCTCTGGGGCTTCGCCACTGGTGAGCCAGTTACCTGAATATTACCCCTGAGAGGCCTCATGACCTCTTGAGCGTGCCTCTTCCCGCCCTTCTACCGGTGCTAATTATTCCTGCCCGCTTCAGCCAGTTTTCAGATCGAGGGTTCCACTGACGCCGACGGCCGCGGCAAGTCAATATGGGACGACTTTGCCAAGCTACCTGGCAAGACTCTTGACGGTCGAGACGGAGACGTCGCTACCGACTCTTACAAGCGGTGGAAGGAGGACCTTGACCTGCTCGTAGAGTATGGTGTGAAGTCTTACCGGTAAGTAAACTTGTGCGGTTGCGACTTCACACATTCCTCATTTGCTAACATGCGGGCTCCGCTAGTTTCTCTATTGCGTGGTCCCGTATCATCCCCCTCGGAGGTCGTAACGACCCCGTCAACGAGGCGGGCATCCAGTTCTATTCGAATCTGATCGACGCGCTGCTTGAGCGCGGGATTGTTCCGTTTGTTGTACGTGGCTTCCTTGCCTGCATATACGCCGCCTTCTTAATATGCCGCGGTTTTTCCAGACCTTGTACCACTGGGACCTTCCCCAGGCGTTGTACGATCGTTACCAAGGATGGCTTAACCGGGAGATCATTGACGACTTTGTCAACTATGCCAAGGTGGGCCTTCCTCGAGTTCCGACAACAGGCAACGCTTCCTCCCCGGAGATGACATTATTGACGCCTTGTCTACTTTGACAGATTTGCTTCGAACGGTTCGGCGACCGCGTGAAGTACTGGTATGCTCATTGACATGCCTCATCCTCGCGCTGGACCCTGATCACATGTTGTGCATGAACAGGCTCACAATGAACGAGCCATGGTGTATTTCCGTCCTCGGCCATGGTCGTGGAGTGTTCGCCCCCGGCCGGTCAAGTGATCGCACGCGCTCGCCAGAGGGCGATTCTTCGACTGAACCGTGGATGTGCGTAGCGCCACTCTTCGCATGCTCAGACCGTTCGTTGACAGTCTCTACTCGCTTGCTCGCGCCGTCGCTCCGCTGCGTTATCGGGAATGCGATTCCTCGGCTTCTAGTGTCGGCCACAACGTGATATTGGCTCATGCTTACGCTGTCAAGCTCTACCGCGAGCAATTCAAGGCTGCCCAGCACGGCACCATCGGCATTACGCTGAACGGCGACTGGGCGCTCCCATACGATGATAGTCCAGAGAGTCAGTACCTGTCTTCTGTGCTGGAAGAGACGCATCGATTTGGGGCTAACGTCATGGTCTGACTTCTTGCCGTGCAGACATCGCTGCGGCACAACACGCGCTGGACGTCGCCATCGGTACGTGCCTACTGCCGGTACCCTATCTCAGAAGCATCGCTGACATCATGTCCGACTCTATGCAGGCTGGTTTGCGGTGAGTCGATATTCCTGCATCAGGCGGTTGGCATCCGCATGTGCTCCGCCCCGCCTGCAGTTCCCGCGCCCTGTCCAGGCGCATCTGTAGAGGAACGTCCAGAGATCAGGTTCTGACTCGCTTATGATGTGTGCTTGCAGGACCCCATCTACCTCGGATATTATCCGGATTATATGAAGACGATGCTGGGAGATCGCCTGCCCTCCTTTACTCCGGAGGACCTTGCGGTAGTCAAGGGCTCTTCGGACTTCTATGGCATGAACACGTACACCACCAACCTCTGCAGTGAGTACACGTAGTCCTTTTGCCGCGGGCAGTGCGAGATTTGTGCTACGGTGAAGCTGACCAAGACGTGGTGATCGCACACAGAGGCTGGCGGTGATGATGAATTCCAGGGCAAGGCGGAATACACGTTCACTCGGCCCGACGGTTCGCAGCTGGGAACGCAGGGTAAGTAAATGATTTCATCTTTACAACACGCCAGTCACTGATCCCACATGCTTGAACCAGCCCATTGCGCATGGCTACAGGATTGTGCGTAACTCCCTCTAGCCTATATTCGTGTATCGGTGCCATTGAACCGCTAACAATCGTCTCACGTTTGCATAGATCCCGAAGGCTTCCGCCAGCTGTTGAACTACCTCTGGAAGGTAATTTGATTGCCCTTGTTGTATGCTGCGGCCGAGTACTAACGCTTTGCAATGCTCCACAGCGTTACAAGAAACCCATCTAGTGAGCAGTGCACGACTAACGTACTTCGACGTGTTCTGATCGGTATCGACTAGCGTCACGGAAAATGGGTTCGCAGTCAAAGATGAAGACGCCATGCCGCTTGAGCAAGCTCTGGCCGACCATGACCGTGTTCAGTACTTCAAGGGGAACACAGAGGCAATCCTCGCCGCACGAAACGAGGACGGCGTTGACATCAAGGCCTACTTCGCATGGAGTGAGTATCGATAGTGAATTCTATGGATGACTGTAAATTGACAGTATTTCCCCGCGGCTCCTAGGTTTGCTCGACAATTTCGAGTGGTAAGTGCATTAGCCATGGATCCATGAGAGATCATCCTGAATCTTGCATTGAAGGGCCGATGGGTACGTTACGCGGTTCGGGTTGACATACGTCGACTACGAGACGCAGAAGCGGTTCCCCAAAGATTCCGGCAAGTTTGTTTCAAAGGTTTGATTTCACACGCTTCCACCGTGCGCCTGATCGCGATGTACTCACATCGTATGCCAACAGTGGTTCAAGGAGCACGTAGCGGAAGAGACGGAGAAGACAAAGGCCGAAGATCCTAAGCGTCTTGAGCTTCCTCCGAGCGCGAATAAGTTCCAGACAGACAGCGCGACCTCTTCTCCCACTCTCGAGTCCGCCGAATCAAGTTCCAAAGCTGCCATCGCGAAGCGTGTCGCGAACGGCGACGCGGCGCCAACGGTAAGTCGTTCGAGACCGCGACGGAAGACAGCTTCTGTGGATACTGAACGATACCGTCGGGTTACAGCCGAAGAAAAAGAAGACGAAGAAGGCCCCCTTCGCCCGGTTCACCGCCTACATCTCGACCTTCCTCGGCATCTGAACGTGTATGATAGACGTGGACAACTCCCGCTACTGCAATACTGCATCCGCGCCCTTCATGCTTGTACATCATGACTTCGTGCGTCGCGCACTGTTACCCCTTCATGACTTCTCTTCTACTATGCCCTTTACCGTACTTCTCGCATGTAGCTACATCATGATATTGCCCACGTCCTATCGTCCCCGAATCCTGCGCACCGGATATGTACTAGTAGTTCACGACCTCGATTTCGTCTTGATGTATTTATTGTGCCCTCATAGCTCGACCTCGTTGCGGTTTGCGTACTGTCTGGCCGTCATTGCTCCTACCGCTGTGTGATGGTTGAGCGCAGACGAGGTCCTGGGATTCGGCAAAGATAACTATGGGCGCTGCAGGCCTCGTGGCGGTGGTCGTGTTCGTCCGTGGTCGGCATAGACGCCGAGTATAAAAGCCCCGGCTTGCCTCCCGCCATTACGGAACTCCATCGACCTGCGCCTCCTCTATCGTCTCCGCCCGAGTTCTGCACTGTTTGATTGTACCAATTGCTCACGTTAACGATCCGCTGCCATGTCGCAGTCGAAGGAGAAGGGAAACTACGGAGCACCCCCAAAGTACGCAGTCTCGTACGCCAGTTGAATGGTAGGACGGGAGATCACCTCGCGCGGTCTGCTTCTGCAGGTATCTGAACGACTTCAGCAAGGCACTCGCGAGCGAGGTGCGCATCCTCCTCGCCGAGGTCGGCAAGCTCAGAGATGAGCGGCGCCAGCTGCAGTAGTGAGTCTCACGCCGCTTTCTACCACAAAGGACCAGCGGAGAGCTGATGCTTGATTGGCTGCGGTAAGTGAGATTGCGGAGCTCATGGCTGTAAAGTCGAAGCACGGTGCTGGTGGCGAGTTCACGCCAGACTGGGCTCCCAAGGTATGTCGGTCGGGCCTACATGAGTTCCGTACCCGTCTTGGCCTGTCTGAACATCTGACATAGCATCCCCACGATGAGCCTATGATGCCTTCCTCGCCGACGCCGCCGCCGCCACAGAGTGTAATCGACGATGGTATGCCCGCACGGCCGGCCTGGCGTACTGTGCACAAGCGTGAAGAGCGCCGCCAGAAGGCCAAGGCCAAGGCGCTCCAGGCTGCCCCCGCACCTCCTGCTATCACAGCACCCGAGCCTGTAAATGTGCCTGCGTGGGCACAGTGGAAGCGTAAGTACCTCTCGACCGCGATGTGTTGTATAACAGTACGCTGACATTCGGGGTATCCGCAAGCCAACCCTATGTTGTCTCCGGTACCCGTCCACGGCTCTCCCTCTGCTCCCCTCCCTTCCGACCACACTCCCGGACCGCGCTCAGGCCTTTTCGGTGAGATCCTCCTCAGTCGGTTTGCATTGAGGTCGTATTCTGACCACCACGCATAGGACCCCCGACTCCCCCGCCGAAGTAGACGTGCGATGACAAGAAACGATCTCTCGAATGATGTGCCTCGATTTACGCCGTGACGCCAGCTTCACTCGGGCTTGATTTATTTCCTCTGCTTTCGTCCGTCTCTTTGCGCCTTGCATGATATCTGTATCGCACCCGTCCTGTTCTCCGTATCATACCCTTGTAACATCTCTAGGATTTATATGCTTCGCTTGCTCCTGTCAGTGTTTCGAAGATTTCACGCATCGTCCACGGCAGCTCCAAAGAGGTGTGTGTCGACGGAAGCATCAAAAGAGTTACATGGTGCAAGCTGTACTAAGCACCGAGATGGACAAAGGGTATCCGTGAAAGGCCACGAAACTGAGATGATCCTACTCGTCGACGCCCTTCGTCAGACATCTCACACCATGGCCTTAACGCGAACAGAGTCTGTACTGCGAGAGATGACAGGGAAAGCAGTAAGGGTTACAGTTAAGAAGGGGAGCAAAAAAGCTCCTGCCCCGGTGAGGCTCGAACTCACGACCTTCCGATTGCCGAGATTAACAGTCGGACGCTGTAACCAACTCAGCCACGGGGCACTTGAAAGGGCGTCCTCAAACATGCTCATAATCAGAATGCAAAACGCCCACGAAATGACTGTGTTTGCCAAATCGTCGGATCGTGATGCGAAGCATTTCTGAACTTGGTTTCTTCCTCCCCGACCGCGCCCGACGACTGGACCATGGCGAGCTTTGCGACGGACCCGGGCCACGCCGAATCCTCTCTTGGTCCCGACGCCATCTCTGCCGACCGTTCTCGTCAGCAGAGCGTAGAGCAGGCGCACAGCGCCGCCGGAGAGCACGACACGGACGACGGCACGGGCAAGAGGAAGAAAGGAACAAAACGGAGGAAAGTAAACCATGCTTGCCTGTACTGTCGCCGGAGCCATATGACCTGTGATGAAGGCCGTCCTTGTCAACGCTGGTACGTTTCTTGGCTTGCGATCTTCTGCGGCAACCTGAGCAAGCACACTCAACTCGCAACGACCCCCTTGGGACCACCGCAGTATCAAGCGAGAGATAGGGCACCTCTGCCACGACGAACGGCGAAGCACGGCGAAGGAGAAGGCTCCTACGGGTTCTGCTTCAACCCCCAATCCTGCCCTAGACGTCTCAAGGGGTCTCACCGGCAAGTGTCTCGCTCTTGCGACCACTATCGATGTACCCTCTAACGTCCAGTCGCTCTCGCTCGCCTCTGTGTACTCTAGCAGGCCAATACGGCGGTGTACCGGTTGCATCACCAATGAATGCAACATGGCCCGGAATGGGCATGAGTATGGCCCAGGGTGGGTTCATGTATCCGCCAGAGACTCTTAGCAACGAGTTCTCTGTGCTCTCGTGAGTACTCATTCCCTATCACTCTGTCCGAGGGTTCTGCCCGAACGTGATAGGCAAAGAGCCGGCTGTATGGCACACGCCGATGAGCAATAGCTTGATGGCAGCTTCTGCCCTATCGGAGCTGTTCCACATCTACAAGGTTGCCGTCCTGTACCTCTTCACCCTTGGATGGAATCGGTGGCTATGGTTGATATTCTCTTCACCGACCCGGGCAGTACCTCCGCGTCCGATCTCGTTCCCGGCAGTGCGACCCGTGGTTTATCTATCAAAAGGGTTCCTCCATTGGTCTTCTCCTTCGACATAGCATCGGAGAAGAGACCACTAGCTCCTATAGGAGTCTAGTTCTTCTCACATCTCACATGTAGAACAGGCTGCATGACGCATATATGGCCTCTGATTGTCATCATTGTACTCACCACGTGCTTTTCACACACAGGGACTTCTTGGAGTCATTGGATGATGGCTCATTCTTCAGTCAACCTCCTGCCGTGACGCCATCGTTAATGTCAAGTCCCACGTACGCCAACACCGTCGCCCTCGGCGTAGACAATCCATATATCACCCAGCCTCCTGCCTTACCTGCACCTACCAATACGGCTCCCCCAGAGGCCGCCGAAACCTCCGCTTCCGAACGAGAGAAGCCGGCTGATGAGCCAGCTCCTGTCGTACTCCCAGCTCCGTCAAAGACGGAGCGTTTTTTCCTCACCGCTGCCGACCAGGCATCAGGGTCGCGTAATGAACGCCTGAACATGGTCATTCGCAGTAAATACGAAGCTGGCCTGCTGAAACCGTACAATTATGTCAAGGGCTACGCGCGACTATCGCGATGGATGGATCGGAAGTAAGCAGTGCTATGCCAGCAAAACAGTCCCTGTTCTGAGCGATCTTCTCGCAGCGTTTCGCAAGAGTCAAAACAGAAGATCCTCCAACCCTTATCCGTCCTTCGGCCGAAATTCAGAGTGAGCCCGCGATCACGGTTTGTGGATTTAGCTAACCGCATTTGCAGGCAATCGCTCAGTCCGAGTCGTTGACTGACATAGTACGCACCATGCGTCGCGGCCAATACTGGCCTGCAGGCTAATCTATCTCTAGGACTTGGTCTTCATTGAAGAGGCATTCGAGCGTTTGCTTCTCGACTACGACCGGGTCTTCTCTGCTATGGCAATACCCGCTTGCCTATGGCGCCGTACAGGTGAAATATACAAGGCAAATCGGGAATTTGCCGAGCTGGTCGGCGTGGATGGCTACATGCTGCGCGACGTACGTCCATGCTCCATTTGGCACTCTATGACCCAATTGCTGAGCAAGTGAATGTGTGGCAGGGCCGAACATGCATCTACGAGCTCATGGCAGAGGATTCTGCTGTCAACTATTGGGAGGTGCGTGCGGCGTCTCGTCTGCTCGTGGTGAACCGCGCACGAGGCTCACTTCTTGCAGAAATACGGCAATGTCGCATTCGACTCCAACCAGAAGGCGGTGCTCACCTCGTGCGTGTTGCGGTACAAGCCTTTGCTTCCATCATCTGGGGCGACCACACCAGCGCGCGGCAAGGATGCCCAGCCACCACCGGACGAGGAAGGCTTTATCAGCTGCTGCTTCTCGTTCACAATCCGTCGCGACCCATATGGAATCCCGACGCTCATCGTAGGAAACTTCATCAAGTGCTGAAAGCCCTCTGAGGGATCTATGTTTCGTCGAGTTTGTTTTCGTTCTCGGTTATGCTATGCTAATGTATGCAGAATCTAGTAGATGTTCTATAGCCCACCCACATCCCCGTGGTTGTTTCGCCACAGGAAATCCGCCTCGTCTTCGTCATTCCCATAGCCACCACCGCTATTGTTGATAGGAAATGTAACATACGCAACCATATCCGAACCGGCATGCCCGCAGCGTTCGTGCACGTTTGCAGCGTTTGCCGCCACATTAGCCGCGTTCACGTCGGGGCTTGGCATCGCCGGACCTTCCGACCACCGCAATCTGTGTGGTGCGCAGTTCCATGGGCGTTTTGGGACCGCGACGCAGCGGCGTCAACGGCGTCCTGTGCACATTGCCCGACCCACCACGCCTGCTGTGTGCATCAAACTGGTGCCTTTGCACCCTCCCAACTTGCAACTTGAGATATGCGTACACCATCGGCTCCATGCCGACAATGAACGATAGAGTGTGGGGAATGTCGCACGCGGCTCTGCGCGCGATGCGCCTTGCCTTCGCCCATCACCGTCTCTGCACCGCTCTCACTTTGTTTCCACCGCCCCGCCTCTTTCGCGAGGTCATGTTGCCAGCATGAGAACCAGACTACTTAACCAGCCTCGGTCTGAACTTTGCGACAACGGTAGCCGGCTCCGAGGCCCTACTGACTTGATCGGACTGTTTTCCCGCTATTTCTTGCCGACCGTGATACGGGGTTTGCATCTGCCACCCTTCAGCGTTATATGAACCTTGCTTGTACTGGAGAGCCCCTGAATAGGCCGAGCATGACGTCTGCGCCGTCCGACTCGCCGTCTGCGCGCCGCCCTTTGCAGCGCGCCGCCAACATCCTCACCAGCAAGGGCGAGCCCGTCCCTGCGATAGCGGACACCATCGTGGCGACACACAACAGCACCGGCGCGCCGCTCTCGCGCAGGAGGTCGTATGGCGGGGGGATTGGAGGGACAATCAAGCGGAAGATAGACCAGGTCAAGGACGTCGGTACGAGCGTCGCACGTCGGGCAAGCCTGAAGCGGTCCCCCTCCTCACCCCCTATCTACCGCCTGCGCCAGAGCGCGTCGGAACCGCAGCCTGAACAGCCTTCGGGGTCGTTCTCTATGCTCTCGCCGGTGGGATGGGTGAAGCGGAGAAAGAGCCACCGCCGCGCCCAGAGCGAGTCGTTCTCCACGCGACCACGCGTTCATCACGCCCACACCATCTCTGCGAGCGCGGACACTCCTTTCCTTTCGCCACCACCTTCTTCCTCCAGCCTCGGGCTTTCAAGAATGAGCTCTCTTCCCGAATCGCCAGTCACGACCAAGGAGGCGCAGGCCCTGCAGCCTGCGCCCGTCGCTCAGCCGTCCGCGCCCATGGATGCGACGGTACCACAACTCCTCCAGGGAGGGGTGCCAATGCTCAAGGTCTCTGCGAAGAAACAGAAGCGGTATCTGTTCAGATTGGATCCGGATCAAGGGCAAATTATATGGGAGTCAAAGAAGCTGCGATTCAGTGAGTAAAGTCCGACTCTCCGTCATCGACATGTTCTGATCTACTTCACTTCATCTCCCCATCGTGCGCAGTCCCAATCGAGAACATCAAGGAGTTGCGAGAGGGCGCCGATGCGCGGTACTATCGCGAGCAATTCCAGCTGGCGCAGGAGTACGAAGACCGGTGGCTCACGATCGTCTACGTGCTCGATGGCGGATACAAGACGTTGCACCTCATCGCCGCCACACGCGAGATCTTTCAGATGTGGGACATCACACTCCGCCGACTCTATGCGATTCGACTGCAAGTCATGAGCGGGGATGTGAGTGTCGACATGCGAAATGCGGTTTGGGAGAAGCAGTTTTGGAAGGGCGCAGATGAGGAGCAGGACCAGCGGCTTGATTTCGACGATGTCGAGCGACTCTGCCGGAGGCTGAACATCAATCCCTCACGAGAAGATCTGAAGCGACGATTTCAGGTACGCCTTATTCGCTACCTATCGAAACCAAGGCAGAACGAGGCGCTGATTTTTGTCAACAGCAAGCGGATACCCAGAATAGAGGCTACCTCGACTTTTCCGATTTCAAGCGTTTCGTGAAGTCGTTGAAGGCGCGCCCCGAGATAGAGAGGCTCTACAGGAGACTTGTCAATGGCAGTAATGGGCTATCGTTCAGCGCATTCGAGGAGTTCATGCGGGACTGTCAGAAGGTAACGTGCCTCCGATTGCTCAAGTCAAGGCTGCTTGCTGATGTCATTTTAGTCTTCTCTCAGTCGAACGGAACTGGAGAGCATCTTCCTCCGATATGCTTCGTCTGCAGAGGGAGTCAAGACCCCAGGATCGCCGCCACAAACGTCGCTCGACCTCGCTATGCACTCTATGTCTATCTCTGCTGGAGTTGAACAACAAGTGCCTCCAAAGGCTGACAAGGAGAAGAGCGATGCGGACCCCTCCGCCTCCCCTCTCCCCTCTGTAGACTCCGCCACGATTTCTCTCAATGGGTTTACAACCTTCCTGCTGTCCACCGACA